TCTCTGTGACCTCCACTGTATAACCAATAAGTGCTCTGTGAATTCCATTTTTTATTGAAACCTTCTGTAGGCCTCTATGATCTCCACTGCTTTTCAGAGAAGTCCTTCACTCTAACTCTACTAAGTTACCAGGAATCCTGGGGTGGTGGCACGTTGCCTGTGGCTCAATTGCTTTGCTGAGATGTTCGAGGCATCTATGTGACCTCCACTATATAAACAATAAGCTCTAAGGTCTTTGTGACTTCCAATACTTTTCTGACAATTTCTGAAGGTCTCTTTGATCTCCACTGCATTTCAGAGATTTCCTCCACTTCAACTTTACTACTTTGCCAGGAATCCTGGAGACCTGTGTTAATTTATTTGCTTTTCTAAGATGTTCTGGGGGTCTCTGTGACCTCCACTGTATAACCAATAAGTGTTATGGGCATCTGTGACTTCTGTTTCTTTATTGAGACGTTCTATAGGCCTCTATGCATACCTCCCTACGTTCAAACTTGAGAATGAGGGACATTTGGGGGAGGTAGAAGCCTGCAGCACATGAATTGTGCTGTGATAAAAATGGGTGTGGCCAGACTTTACAGTGGGAGGGGCTTAAATAGCATGGTTAAGCAAAATCCAAGCTTAAGGTATGTGCTGGGGGGTCACTTTTGGAGATAGAGGCCTTGTCTAGAATGTGGGGTAGAGTAGGGAACAGATACAGTATATACTGGGGGGTACTTTAGGAGGGGAGAGGACTTGTGCTAGAAGGCAGGGTTGGGTCAGATTGGTGCTGAGGGACCTTTGGGTGGGGAGAGGATGTGTGCTAGAAAGTGGAGTGAGTCAGATATGTACTGGAGGGGGGATTTTGGAGGGGAGTGCACTTGTGCTGGGGTAGTTAGATACGTACGTACAGTGGGGTGCTTTGGGAGCAGAGAGAACTTGTGCTAGAAGGTGGGGGGTATATATATGCTTGGGGGGGGGGGCACTGGGGAGTCAGATACACACTGGGGATGTGCTTTGGGAAGGGACTGGATTTGTGCTGGAGGGTGGGGGGTGGGGTTGGGGTGTCAGATAATTTATCGGAGGGTGCTTTGGGGGGGGGAGGGAGTTTGTGCTAGAAGGAGGGATGGGGGGATTTCAAATCCAATTTCCCCTCCTGCATAAGTTTTCTTCCCTCCCAAAGCACACCTTCAGAACATATCCTCTTAAACCCTACTTAACTGCAACCCCCCCTTACTACATAGAGATCAGAGGGGGGCCCCAGGAATGATCATGTACAGCAGTACAGAATACATAGGTCAGTGCACACAATCAGAAATTACACTGGGGTGACCCCCATTACTACCCAGGGGTGATCCCCTTTACTATCCAGGGGTGATCAGATCACAGATCAGAGGGCATTCCCAGCTCACACTTACCCCATGGTGGTGGTGATGGATAGTTAGGCAGTGTAGTCTCCCGGTGCTCAGTGGCTCATACATGTAACATCTGCTCTCCTCCAGACCTCATGGAGCTCCAGCCAGCACCAGGCTGATGATGAAAGGCTGAGTCCCGAGGATCTAGTGTGCTCCACCTGCTGCAATCCCCCTCTGAGTATACTGGTGCCAGCACTGCACATACAGCAATCCACAGCCAGCCAGCAGGGAGATGTTGGCTGCAACACAGACATTGGATCATGGTGTATGGTAGCTCATACACCTTGCACAAGCTGCAGAGTAGAGGCAACTAGTGCCCATGCTAGTGCGTCCCCAATGGAGAAGTCACTAGAACAAAGTGCCAGAACTTGTTCCAGCACTGGACTCCACTCCGCGACTCAGCCTTGATTCACCGGAATGCTGGGACGTACACCAAACCCCGGGACATTCCCGGAGAGTCCGGAACGGTTGGGAGGTATGGCTATGATCAGGGGCGGACTGACAACTCATGGGGCCCCGGGCAATAGGGGATTATGGGCCCCTGCGTCCTTGCCCACACTCAAACCGCACCCAAAAAAAGCCCATGAAAGGTACCAGGGGCATCTCATGGGGCCCCCTACTGACCCTGGGCCCTCGGGCAGTGCCCGAGCGCTCGAATGGTCAGTCCACCCCTGGCTATGATCTCCACTGCTTTTAATAGAAGTCCTCCACTCTAACTCTACTAATTTACTAGGAATCCTGGGGGTCTGTGTTAACTCAATTGCTCTTATGAGATGTTCTGAGTGTCTTTGTGACCTCCACTGTATAACCAATATATCCTAAGGCCTTTTTGACTTCCATTGTTTTTGTGAGGCTTCTGTAGGCCTCTATGATCCACAACATTTTCAGAGTAGTCCGGTACACCAATGTGATCTCATCTGAATAAACAAGAAGTCCTAGGAAGTAATGAAAGTAATAAGGGATGCAGCGCTACATTCAAATCATATAAATATGTGAATGTGGGATCCTAAATCATCAAATTAAGTGAAATTAAATAACAATGACAATGTTAACAATACATATCAATACGTGCTCGTTAATAATATCATCAACACAAATAAAGTAAATAGCTCAAAACTTATATGAAAAACCCCATCCATATATATATGAATGAAACAAAATTACACATATATATGGTGTAATCACACGTGCCTATTGTGAAGTGAAATAACTATAATAATAATACAAATAAAATTATATCTCAAAGTCCAAAAAAAATATATACTAATGGTGACAAAACAGTAAATGGTGCTTCCAAATAATACTGTTAGTGACCCTAAGTGAAACTCGTGCAAATTTCTGAGTGCGTCCAAATCTGAGAATCCAACCACCATCTGGATTAGCCTCTCACCTCATCTCTTCGACCCTTGCGGATCAAAGAGCAGTAGTGGATCCCTCTCACGGATCCTCCAAGCACTGAAACACTCCAAGGGTAGTTTTCTCAGAAAAATATTCCCACACTGGCTCTTCTCCAGGAAAAGTTGCAGTATCAATCTCTCAAATGAGACAAAGGAATCCTCCCAGATGAAGTCACATGACATTGTGACGCAACGCGTCGGCTTGACGTGGTGACGTATTTCCGGCGTGGCGGCCATCTTGGTACACCTGTGTATTCAGCTGTACACCCAAACAGATATATCCTCATCTGAAAGCATGAGGTTTTTTCTTGGACTGGCTGCTACGTAAGTGTAATGCAAAAAATGCTGTTTGTCTCTATGGTATAATTAAATATACTACACACTATGGGAGGATTCCTTTGTCTCATTTGAGAGATTGATACTACAACTTTTCCTGGAGAAGAGCCAGTGTGGGAATATTTTTCTGAGAAAACTGCCCTTGGAGTGTTTCAGTGCTTGGAGGATCCGTGAGAGGGATCCACTACTGCTCTTTGATCCGCAAGGGTCGAAGAGATGAGGTGAGAGGCTAATCCAGATGGTGGTTGGATTCTCAGATTTGGACGCACTCAGAAATTTGCACGAGTTTCACTTATGGTCACTAACAGTATTATTTGGAAGCACCATTTACTGTTTTGTCACCATTAGTATATATTTTTTTTGGACTTTGAGATATAATTTTTTATTTGTATTATTATTATTATAGTTATTTCACTTCACAATAGGCACGTGTGATTACACCATAAATATGTGTAATTTTGTTTCATTCATATATATATGGATGGGGTTTTTCATATAAGTTTTGAGCTATTTACTTTATTTGTGTTGATGATATTATTAACGAGCACGTATTGATATGTGTTTGTTAACATTGTCATTGCTATATTTAATTTCACTTAATTTGATGATTTAGGATCCCACATTCACATATTTATATGATTTGAATGTAGCGCTGCATCCCTTATTACTTTCATTGTATATAATCACTGGTATATGATTTGATGTTAGCAGCTTTCTTTGGGATTTAGATACACATTTATTTTGTTTAAAATTTCAAATAACACTTGAGAGCGCAGGAGGTTCACACCATCACTGTTATAAACAAGAAGTCTTAGGGGGTGTCTGGAAGTTCCATTTCTTTTCCGAGAAGGTTTGAGGGCCTCTTTAATCTCCACTCCATAACTAAGACACCCTGGAGGCCTCTGTGACCTTCATTGCCTAAGTGAGAAGTTCCGGACTCTTCGGTGTGTTATATCTGACTAATTAAACTTGCAGGAAAGTGGGACTGTTGCTTTTGAAAGATGAAACCTGGCCTGTTGCTTTGATGAAGTGTTCCACTTTCTTTGCTCTACTTTTATAACGCCAGAATGAAATATGTTTTTGCATCCATTAAATTAGAATTCATGAATCAGAACATGCTTTATTTTCATTTACCATTTTCTTCGCTGGATATTTAGCAGCACATTGTCTCTGATGCAAGAGGGAGCTAGAAGACCGTATTCGTTTAGAGAACTAGAAGTCAGATTTGCAGGCATGGGTCTCCTTGCTGCAGTCAAATTATTTCTTCTGTATTCCTGCGTGTCCCTGTGGTCTATAAGAGTGCTGAGAGGATAATTCAGAGAGCAAAATCCATTGTTTCCACTTACCACTTTCCTCCACATTATTAGAGTTCAATAGCTTGATGCTGAGTCAAAAGGTGAGGAACGTAAACATGTATCTTTGCTATGACTCCTAGCTTAGAGACATAGATTCTCAAGAGCAGCTCTATAACTAGACCAATGCACAGACACTTACTGGTTAGACTCAGAGCAATAAAAGGAAACAGAGCATGATTACGTAACTATTTTGTCAAGTATTTATATCATTTACCCATTGAAAAACTGCAATCCTGGTTTAATTATGCTGATCGACTGATGAGGCAGCAGAATCCCTGTCAGTCATTGAATTCTGAAATCCCCATTGATTTCTTCCAACAGAAGGTTCAACTTAGAAAGTTCAAAAGCCAGCATACTGACTCCAGGAGCATGTCATAAGAACCAACTAGGAGACCCAAAAGAACCCTTTTCATTTCACTTTCTGCATACAAGGGAAGGGGGAATAAGTTCACCCTGCAGACTAAGCATTATTTGTTACTTACGACTGTGTATCAAAGTTCATGTAAATTCTCAAAAAACTTATATAATGCAGTACAGTAGATGCAGTAGTAGTGTGGGGAAGGGCACAGAAGTGGCCTGTTGTAGCTGGTCTTACATTGGTGGTCAGTGGAAAGAATGTCCCTTACATTGGTGGTCAGTGGGAAGAATGTCCCTTACAATGGTGATCATTGGGAAGAATGTCCCTTACATTGGTGGTCAGTGGAAAGAATGTCCCTTACATTGGTGTTCAGTGGAAAGAATGTCCCTTACATTGGTGATCAGTGGAAAGAATGTCCCTTACATTGGTGATCAGTGGGAAGAATGTCCCTTACATTGGTGGTCAGTGGAAAAAAAGAATGTCCCTTACATTGGTGTTCAGTGGAAAGAATGTCCCTTACATTGGTGATCAGTGGAAAGAATGTCCCTTACATTGGTGAATGAATGTTCATTGGTGATCAGTGGGAAGAATGTCCCTTACATTGGTGGTCAGTGGGAAGAATGTCCCTTACATTGGTGGTCAGTGGAAAGAATGTCCCTTACATTGGTGTTCAGTGGAAAGAATGTCCCTTACATTGGTGATCAGTGGAAAGAATGTCCCTTACATTGGTGATCAGTGGGAAGAATGTCCCTTACATTGGTGGTCAGTGGGAAGAATGTCCCTTACATTGGTGATCAGTGGGAAGAATGTCCCTTACATTGGTGATCAGTGGGAAGAATGTCCCTTACATTGGTGATCAGTGGGAAGAATGTCCCTTACATTGGTGGTCAGTGGGAAGAATTTCCCTTACATTGGTGCTCAGTGGGAAGAATGTCCCTTACAATGGTGATCATTGGGAAGAATGTCCCTTACATTGGGGGTCAGTGGGAAGAATGTCCCTTACATTGGTGATCAGTGGGAAGAATGTCCCTTACATTGGTGGTCAGTGGGAAGAATGTCCCTTACATTGGTGTTCAGTGGGAAGAATGTCCCTTACATTGGTGATCAGTGGGAAGAATGTCCCTTACATTGGTGGTCAGTGGGAAGAATGTCCCTTACATTGGTGATCAGTGGGAAGAATGTCCCTTACATTGGTGATAGAGATCCCCCTGCGCTAATATGGAACCTAATTTCTATATGCTGCTAACACCCTATCCTCTACCTAAAAGTGGAAAAATATAAGTGATAAAATATAATAGTGGTGTAGCGCTGATAACTAAATGTGCAAACTCCACAATAATAAGATAAAAAACATAAATCACATAAATGAGTGAATATAAATATATAAGTGATAGATCTATCAAGATCTAGAAAAACAGTGTCTCAAACTGTGATATAACCAGTACACAAAGTGCATATGATGAAGCTGGTCCTATGCCCGGACCCTCATACAGTGACAATACCCAGTCCCACTTGGGACCAAACCCCAAAAGACTAGGTGCTATATACAGTGGATCCCAAAATAAGGGATATGACCACAAATAAAGTGAGTGATATATAAAGTGTATCCCAAAATTGGGATATAAACCAAATAAAGTGACTAGTGAATAATGTTAACCCCTTCAATACCGGGCACTTTTACCCCCTTCTTGCCCAGGCCATTTTTCAGTTTTCAGCACTCTCACACTTTGAATGACAATTGCGCGGTCATACAACATTGTACCCAAACTAAAATTTTATCATTTTCTTCACACAACTAGAGCTTTCTTTTGGTGGTATTTAATCATCGCCGGGGTTTTTATTTTTTGCAAAATTAACAAATAAAAACCAAAATTTTGAAAAAAAAACATGTTTTTCTTTGTTTCTGTTATAAAAGTTTACAAATAAATAATTGTTCTTCATAAATTTAGGCCGAGATGTATTCTGCTACATGTCTTTGGTGAAAATAACCCAAATTAGGATGTATTATTTAGTTTGTAGGAAAGTTATAGAGTTCACAAACTATGGAATAGATCTGAATATTGATCAATCCTGAAGTACTGACAGCCAATCTAATTTCTTGAGGTCCAAGAATGTCAGAACAGTACAGATATCCCCCAAATGTCAGGACGGTACAGATATCCCCCAAATGTCAGGACAGTACAGATATCCTCCAAATGTCAGGACAGTACAGATATCCCCCAAATGTCAGGACAGGACAGATAACCCCCCAAATGTCAGAACAGTACAGATATCCCCAAAATGTCAGAACGGTACAGATATCCCCCAAATGTCAGGACACTACAGATATCCCCCAAATGTCAGGACAGTACAGATATCCCCCAAATGTCAGAACAGTACAGATATCCCCCAAATGTCAGAACAGTACAGATATCCCCCAAATGTCAGGACAGTACAGATATCCCCCAAATGTCAGAACGGTACAGATATCCCCCAAATGTCAGGACAGTACAGATATCCCCCAAATGTCAGAACAGTACAGATATCCCCCAAATGTCAGAACAGTACAGATATCCCCCAAATGTCAGGACGGTACAGATATCCCCAAATGTCAGGACAGTACAGATATCCCCCAAATGTCAGAACAGTACAGATATCCCCCCAAATGTCAGGACAGTAAAGATATCCCCCAAATGTCAGGACAGTACAGATATCCCCCCAAATGTCAGGACAGTACAGATATCCCCCAAATGTCAGGACAGTACAGATATCCCCAAAATGACCCCTTTTTGCAGAGTAGACAGTCCGATGTACTTCATAAGAGGAATGGCAAGTTTTTTGAAGTTGTATTTTTTTTGTCATAATTTTTCGGAAAATGAAAAAAATTAAAAAAAATATTTTCACTATTTTTTTTTTTTTACATACTGTCACCAGTGCAGTACAGTGTAATCATATAACTGGCATGGCGGTGATCAGGGACACTGACTGGCGACAGTATGAAAAAAATATATATATTTTTTTTTTTCTTAATTATTTTTTATTACATTTTTTTTTTATTTTTTTTAAGATTTTTTTTCATATTTTACTTAGACCAAAGTAGTACAATGTTACCATAGTAACATTGTACTACTTTCGGGAAGTGATCAGTATTTTTTTTTTTTTTTTTTTTTTTACACAATTTGCTTATAGCAAAGAATTACTTTGCTATAAGCAAGCATTTACCTGAATGACATCGATTCATTCAGGTTTTTTTTTTTTTTTTTTTTTTTTGTGCTTAGCTGTGATTTGGCCACAGCTAATCACATGACATGTGCATGTGACCTGCTGTGACCATTCACAGCTAGACACTAGTATACAATGGATGGCATGAATGAAGCCATCCATTGTATACAACTGTCATGTGACCTGCTGTGATTGGTCACAGCAGGTCACATGGTACCGGCAACGGGGGTCGGTACTCAGATCTGTCATCGGCCGTGTCCGAGGTATACGGCCGGTGACAGATCGCACCGCTACGCGGCTCTGCAACCGCGCGAACTGCGCATGTGCGGGGGAGGACGCCAAATGGCGTACACCCCAGAAAGGTAATGCATTTTTGCTGTCGCCAAACGGCTATAGGCCGGGGCGGCAAATGGTTAAACACAGTATATAAACATAAACTTCATAAACGCATAAAACGATAAAAAGTGTCCAACAAATTGCCAAGATTAGCAAAGATGGCAATGACTGCCAAAATGTGCCGATATCTTCAAACCACGTGCTATAGTGCTGGTGCAGATGGTGAGCATAGATCCTTAGATGGCAGGCATGCCCCCTCACCTCCTCTTTGTGACCCAAAAGGGTCAACACGCCTCTTGGATCACCCTGGATCCTACAGGTACCAACTCTCCAGGTCGCTCTGATTCCACTGAACCTCACTGGTAACTTCCTTCCAATATAAATCCCTCTTCCATCCAGGGATAAACACAGTGCAGGCCAATAATTGAGTATCACATTACAGCCATGAAAGGACAAAAAGACGAGTCTCCCATAGTGCAACACTGTTTAATATGTTAAAAGCATGTTAATGCAATATTTATCAATAATGTTAGTGTAATATATTGGCGATTTAACATGCTTTTCACATATTAATAGTGTTGCATTATGGGCGACTCGTCTTTTTGTCCTTTCATGGCTGTAATGTGATACTCTGTAGGACTTTTCTTCTGCTTCTTTTTCATTGCAGGTAAATAATGGACTCCAAGCAGAAGTGTCATTGAGTTCTTGATGGAGGGGAGCAGGCTGTCCAACATCCACAGAAGGCAACAGAATGTTTGAGAATACACCGTTGATAAGAGCAATGCCTTGTCATTGGCGACTTGTCAATGGTGTCATCTCCATAAACATTCTGTGGATGTCTGACAACTTGCAGCTCTCCTCCCTCAAGAACTTAATGTGGGCACATTGATTCTGCTTGGAATCCATTATTTACCTGCAATGAAGAAGATGAAGAAGAGTTACTATAGAGCATTGGTCTCCAAACTACAGACCGGGGGCCACATGTGGCCCCTTTCTTCCATTATTGCCATTATTCAGCCCTTGGGGCACTATTCCTCCTATTGACACCAACAATGGGGAATTATTCCTCCTACTGACACCTCTGATGGGACACTATTCCTCCCATTGACACCAACAATGGGGCATAATTCCTTCCACTGACACCAACAGTGGGCCACTATTCCTCCCACTGACACCTCTGATGGGACACTATTCCTCCCATTGACACCAACAATGGGGCATAATTCCTTCTACTGACACCAACAGTGGGCCACTATTCCTCCCATTGACACCAACAATGGGGCATTATTCCTTCCACTGACACCAACAGTGGGCCACTATTCCTCCTATTGACACCAACAATGGGGCATAATTCCTTCCACTGACACCAACAGTGGGCCACTATTCCTCCCATTGACACCAACAATGGGGCATAATTCCTTCCACTGACACTAACAGTGGGCCACTATTCCTCCCATTGACACCAACAATGGGGCATAATTCGTGCCACTGACTCCAACAGTGGCCACTATTCCCTATTCCTCCCATTGACACCAATAATGGGGTACTATTCCTCACATGGACACAATGATGGAGCATTGTTACTGACACCAGGAGATTTTCTACTTCCACTGGCCACAGTCAGCCCCTCTAAAGTCTTCAGGATAGTAAATTGGCCCTTTGCTTGGAAACCCCTGCTATATAGGAAGAGTTACCCTACCAACATGTGAAAGCTGAACAACTATGTAAGTTAAAGCGATTCTAAAGATTCATTTTTTTTTAATAATAAACACGTCTATACCTACCTGCTATGTAGTGGTTTTGCGAAGAGCAGCCTGAACCCTCCTCTTCTTCTTGGGCCCCCCCCCCCCCCCCAGGCTCTCCTGGCTCCTCCTGCTTGTTGGGTGCCTCCACAACAAGCAGCTTGCTATGGGGGCACCCACTACTCCGTTTGTCCATTCACACGGAGCCGTGACTTGGCCCCGCCCCCTCTCTCTCTCCCCTCTGACTGTGATTGACAATACTTGCTACTATACCTACCTGCTGTGTAGTGGTTTTGCAAAGAGCAGCCTGAACCTAAGACAATACTTGATACTATACCTACCTGCTGTGTAGTGGTTTTGCAAAGAGCAGCCTGAACCCTCCTCTTCTTCTTGGGCCCCCCCCCAGGCTCTCCTGGCTCCTCCTGCTTGTTGGGTGCCTCCACAACAAGTAGCTTGCTATGGGGGCACCCACTACTCCGTTTGTCCATTCACACGGAGCCGTGACTTGGCCCCGCCCCCTCTCTCTCTCCCCTCTGACTGTGCTTGACAATACTTGCTGTGTCAGCCAATGAGGAGGCAGGAGGACCGGGACAGCCAAGGCTGTCATTCACATCGCTGTATCGCGATGAGGCTAAGGTAAGTATTGAGGGGGCTGGAGGAGCTGCTGCACACAGAAGGTTTTTTACCTTCGTAGAATCCATGAAGGTAAATAGACCTTCAGCCTTTACAACCGCTTTAATAAAAAAGTTCTGCCCACTGTTGCATTACTTTCCGTACAGTCCTCATATAAAACACATATTTCGGGAGGTTGTTATTACTGTGATTCAACTAACCAGCATCCAGCTAAAGCAGAAATATCAACTTTAGGTGGAGTTGGCGTTGAGAGATGCAACATTTTTCTGTTCTTGAATACAGTTTCGGGAAGTCCTACTACGTTTGGCTGGCTACAAATTGTTTGTCTTGGTGAAGGAACTTGGCTGGGTTTCATAAACTGTTTGCTGAGAGAGCAAATTAATGATGCATTTGTTTAGAGAAAAGCTGCAGATTCTCCCACATTCCGGTAAGATAAGTATTCTCTTTCATCTATTTAGAAATAGTTTATTTGTGGTGGAGATGCCAAGTTTGGAAATTGTGCGCTTTAATTGGTGTCGTGAATCTGCTGACAGCTGGTGGTATGGTGCAAACCTGCGGAGGAAGGTCCCCGACTGTGCTGCCGTCCTTTGATGCCTCTGCTGTTTGAAGACTCTCAATATGCTGAATGTGTGGAGAGACTCAACCTTCTGAATGTTGCAGCTCACTGTAGTAACTAAGGTAGGGAACAGCAAACAAAGAAAGCGGAAAAAAAAATATATATACTGCCACTAAGGAGCGCAAAGCCCCTTTTTTTTATAGATGGGCTTACAAAATGTTTATTTTTTTTTTTGCTACGGGCATTGACATATGTATCACTGCCAATGCATGCATCACTTATACTGTAGCCCTTGCCACCCCCCGTGGGGCAACAGCAACAGGCTCAGGGATGGACCCATGCACCACAACTTATTTCAGGGTTTTGGACTTTGCGGACACTATGACTTTCACACAAACCAACTGATATACACGTATGGGGATTTTTTTTTTTAACAAAAGACATGTAGCAGAATACATTTTTGGCCTACATTTATGAAGAAATTTGATTTTATTGGATTTTTTTAAATAACAGAAAGTAAAAAATATTGTGGTTTGTTTTCAAAATTTTTGGTGTTTTTTTGTTTATATAATTAAAGAAGTAAAAAACAGTGGAAATCAAATACCAACAAAAGAAAGCTCTATTTGTGTGAAAAAAAAACAATATAAATTTATTTTGGATACTGCATGACCGAGCAATTGCCAGTTAAAATAGCGCAGTAATGAATAGCAAAAAAATGCATTGGTAATCAGTGGGAAGAAATGTCCCTTACATTGGTGATCAGTGGGAAGAATGTCCCTTACATTGGTGATCAGTGGAAGAATGTCCCTTACATTGGTGATCATGTGGGAAGAATGTCCCTTACATTAGGGATCAGTGGAAGAATGTTTTGGTGATCCTTACATTGGTGATCAGTGGGAAGAATGTCCCTTACATTGGTGATCAGTGGGAAGAATGTCCCTTACATTGGTGTCAGTGGAAGAATGTCCCTTACATTGGGGGTCATGTGGGAAGAATGTCCCTTACATTGGGGGTCAGTGGGAAGAATGTCCCTTACATTAGGGGTCAGTGGGAAGAATGCTCCTTACTTTGGTGATCAGTGGGAAGAATGTCCCTTACATTGGAGGTCAGTGGAAGAATGTCCCTTACATTGGTGGTCAATATGGTGAAGAATGTACCCTTACATTGGGGGTCAGTGTGGAAGAATGCTCCTTACATTGGTGAAAATCAGTGGGAAGAATGTCCCTTACATTGGGGGTCAGTGGGAAGAATGCTCCTTACATCGGGGGTCAGTTTGGAAGAATGCTCCTTACATTTGGTGTCAGTTTGGAAGAATGCTCCTTACATTGGTGGTCAGTTGGAAGAATGCTCCTTACATTGGTGGTCAGTGGGAAGAATGTTCCCTTACATTGGTGGTCAGTGGGAAGAAAGCTCCTTACATTGGTGGTCAGTGGAAGAATGCTCCTTACATTGGTGGTCAGTGGAAGAATGTTCCTTACATTGGTAGTCAGTGGGAAGAATGCTCCTTACATTGGTGGTCAGTGGGAAGAATGTCCCTTACATTGGGGTCAGTGGGAAGAATGTCCCTTACATTCGGGGTCAGTGGGAAGAATACTCCTTACATTGGTGGGTCAGTTGGAAGAATGCTCCTTACATTGGTGGTCATTGGGAAGAATGTTCCTTACATTGGTGGTCATTGGGAAGAATGTCCCTTACATTGGGAGTCAGTGGGAAGAATGACCCTTACATTGGGGGTCAGTGGTAAGAATGAACCTTACATTGGGGGTCAGTGGTAGGAATGACCCTTACATTGGTGGTCAGTGGGAAAAATGCTCCTTCCATTGGTGTCAGTGGGAAGAATGTCCCTTACATTGGGGGTCAGTGGGAAGAATGTTCCTTCCATTGGTGGTCAGTGGGAAGAATGTCCCTTACATTAGGGGTCCACTGGGAAGAATGCTCCCTTACATTGGTGGTCAGTGGGAAAAATGTCTCTTACATTGGTGGTCAGCTGGGAAGTATGTCCCTTACATTTGGGATCAGTGGGAAGAATGTCCCTTACATTGGGGATCAGTGGAAGAATGTCCCTTACATTGGGATCAGTGGGAAGAATGTCCATTACAACACTGGTGATCAGTGGGAAGAATGACTCCTAACATTGGTGATCAGTGGGAAGAAAGATCCTTACATTGGGTGATCAGTGGGAAGAATGTCCCTTACATTGGTGATCAGTGGAAGAAAGATCCTTACATTGGGGGTCAGTGGGGAGAATGCTCCTTACATTGGGGGTCAGTGGGAAGAATGGTCCCTTACATTGGTGCTCAGTGGGAAGAATGTCCCTTACATTGGTGGTCAGTGGGAAGAATGCTCCTTACATTGGGGTCAGTGGGAAGAATGCTCCTTACATTGGGGGTCAGTGGGAAGAATGCTCCTTACATTGGGGGTCAGTGGGAAGAATGTCCCTTACATTGGTGGGTCAGTGGAAGAATGTCCCTTACATTGGTGGTCAGTGGGAAGAAAAAAAATGTCCCTTACATTGGGGGTCAGTGGGGAAGAATGTCCCTTACATTGGTGGTCAGTGGGAAGAATGCTCCTTACATTGGTGGTCAGTGGGAAGAATGTCCCTTACATTGGTGGTCAGTGGGAAGAAGAATGCTCCTTACATTGGTGGTCAGTGGGAAGAATGCCCCCAATTTATACAAATAAGAAAAAAATGATCATTGATGTTACTTATCTTAAGAGTAAGAGAATTTCTGATTCTATAGAGCCCTTTTTTGAGAAATGCTGCTCTAGCTAATGAGCACAAAAAGCCTAATAAAACACTTTACAATATTTTTAGGTTAAAAACTGATATTTTTGGTTGCATAGATTGGTGCTGGAAAAAAAAAGAGCAGTACATGAACTGGGATAACATCACACCTAATCTCATACTGAAGAAGGCTGCATTGGAGGTGGCTGGTAATCACAGTGTTAATTATATCAGGTATCACCCAGCAGATGACAGGGGAAGGAAAGTGCAAACACTGCGCACTGCAACATGTTAAAAAGATTGTTTGCCGCCGTGTCATCTCAATATGTTCCACAAACACTTTTCATTTCACAAGAGATCTGCCACGTCCCGATGCCGCGACAAGCTTACAATCAGTCTGAGAAGTCTCAGAGTTTTTGCTGCCGTCGTACTGCATTTGTTGAGATCTTTCTTTTTATACTAATTAACCCATACTTACACGTCCGCCCTATAGCAGAAATACGGCTACAGGGCGACCTGGGTGCGCAAAATCAACGTATATATACGTGATTTTGCAGTTCCGGGTAGGGGCCATTCACGCCTTGGCTGTCAATCACCCGAGTCCCAGTTACTCGCCGGCACCCGTTGATTGCCGAGTATCTCCGACAGGGGACGAGACCTGTGTATAAACAACACAGATCTCTCCTGTCGGCCTCCAGCACACCTGCTTTTTATGGCTCTGCATAGCACGCTTACAGTGAAACACACACACACAGCACGCAGTGAAACAGCACACGGTTAACCCCTTTGATCACCCCCAGATGTAACCAACCCCTTTCCTGCCCAGTGCCATTAGGTAAGTACAGTGTCAGTGCTTTTTATTAGCATTGATCACTGTATTGGTGTCACTGGGAATATCAGTGATGTAGCAAAACTAAGTTCATCCAGCTAGAAGCAGAGTTCTCCTTTACCTTGTTGTATTTGAGGTATTCCTTGAATCATTCCTCACATCCCCCCCCCCCCTCATCCCCCTTGCATTCCTGTGAGGCAGACTTTATCTCCTGGCAGATGATGTGGAAAACAACAGGCTAAGACATGAGAAGTGGAGCCAGCCCGTCTGCGGAGGTGTCACTTTGGTCACCCCAAAGCTATGTAAGCCCCACACCTTATCAACCTGACCCAGAACTGAACATTCCTCAGGTCAAACATATGTTTCATTATCATGGAACATGAGCTGGCAGTTTCAGTTTAAAATCCCCCAATGACCACTCCCAAAAGGTGTAGTCAGAGCCCCCCTCCCTTTTGTGAGGGACTTTTAAAAAAGACAGGCTGACAAGCCTAGAGAGAGAGTGAAAGTTTTTTTAACACACAAAGAGATCTCCCAGCAACATCTTAACAAGAGGAGATCAAAGAAATCACCCTGCTACACAACTTGGACTGCAAACCCAGGCTAAGGGCAAGTAACTCAACCCTGTAATCTTCTTCCTAATTATCTCTTTGCTGTGTCTTTATATACATAATATATATATTTTGTGACATCTCTTTGTAAATATTTATTTGCATCCGACGCTTTTAGTAATAAATCTTTCTTTCTGAAAGTGTTAAACTGTTTCTAAGCGCTTACTTGCAATTCACGAATCCCTGCCTTTGAAGAGACGCTACTGTTGGTTATATTTCTGTATAGTAGGTCCGCGGGCCGTGCTATATAGATCAATATTTCAATCATTATAGTGTATATTTGATAACGGGGAGCTTCCCAGTCTCCGACAAAAGTGGTGGCGGCAGTAGAGGGTTAGTTGCGTAATTAACCCGACCCAGTAACAAGCGCATTCAGGCTGCAGGCACCGATTGTAGTCCATTAGCTGGGCAATCGCTGTGTAGGGTGCAGCTGGGTGTGGCCTTGTTACGCACGTCACAAACCGCGGTTTTTGGATTGGCCGGGCCCTTCGGTCACGAGTTTGGTGAGAAGGTCTGGGGTCTGACGCCGTGGGCGTGATGTATTACTGTTAGTCGCGGCTGTGCGATTGTCGCCTGTTGGTGGCGGCGACCGCGGGTCGTGACAAGTGACACCGAGTCAGTTTCCCCCCCCCCTCCAGTGTCAGAACGCCCACCGCAGTCCCGCAGTCCTGCTATATAAGTCGCTGATCGCCGAAATTACTAGTATTAAAAAAAAAAATTAATATAAAAATCCAGTATATATACTGCCATTTGTAGACGCTATGACATTCACACGTAAACCAATTAACTTACACGTATTGTTTTTTTTTTTTTAGCAAAGACATGTCACAGAAGAAATTTGATTTTTTTTACATTTTTTTTTACTGGACAGTTTAATAGCAAAAAGTCAAATGTATGGTTTTTGTTTAGAGATGAGCGAAGTATTGAAAAAATTCGATTCGGCTGATTCGGCGAATTCCAGTATGAAATTCGATTTGATGCGAATTTCTTCGCTACGAAGATGGCTTATAAAAAGGGTTTCTAGGCTTCAGAGAGCCTTTAAATTAGTGCAGAACACTGTACCTTTAATTTAAATGCCCTTGGAGATCAGGAAGGAGAAGGAAGGAGAAGGAGAAGGAGAAGGATGAGAAGAAGGAGAAGGAGAAGGATGAGGAGAAGGAGAAGGAGAAGGATGAGAAGAAGGAGAGAAGGAGAAGGATGAGAAGATGGAGAAGGAGAAGGATGAGAAGAAGGAGAAGGAGAAGGATGAGAAGAAGGAGAAGGAGAAGGATGAGAAGAAGGAGAAGGAAGAGAAGGATGAGAAGAAGGAGAAGGAGAAGGGATGAGGAAGAAGGAGAAGGATGAGAAGAAGGAGAAGGATGAGAAGAAGGAGAAGGAGAAGATGAGAAGATGAGAAGAAGAAGGATGAGAAGAAGGAGAAGGATGAGAAGAAGGAGAAGGATGAGAAGAAGGAGAAGGATGAGAGAAGGAGAAGGATGAGAAGAAGGAGAAGGATGAGAAGAAGGAGAAGGATGAGAAGATGGAGAAGGAGAAGGATGAGAAGAAGGAGAAGGATGAGAAGAAGGAGAAGGAGAAGGATGAGGAGAAGGAGAAGGATGAGAAGAAGGAGAAGGAATGAAAGAAGGATGAGAAGAAGGAGAAGGATGAGAAGAAGGAGAAGGATGAGAAGAAGGAGAAGGATGAAAGATGAAGAAGGAGAAGGAGAGAAGAAGGATGAGAAGAAGGAGAAGGATGAGAAGAAGGAGAAGGATGAGAAGAAGGAGAAGGATGAAGAAGAAGGAGAAGGAGAAGAAGAAGGAGAAGGAGAAGAGAAGGAGAAGGATGAGAAGAAGGAGAAGGATGAGAAGGATGGAGAAGGAGAAGGATGAGAAGAAGGAAAGAAAGGATGAGAAGAAGGAGAAGGATGAGAAGAAGGAGAAGGATGAGAAGAAGGAGAAGGATGAGAAGATGAGGAGAAGGGAAAGATGAGAAGAAGGAGAAGGAAGGAGAAGAAGGAGAAGGATGAGAAGAAGGAGAAGGATGAGAAGGAAAGAAGGAGAAGGATGAGAAGGAGGGAGAGAAGGAAGGATGAGAAGAAGGAGAAACAGAAGGAGAAGGAAGGAGAGGAAGGATGAAGGAAGAGAAGAAGGAGAAGGAGAAGGATGAGAAGAAGGAGAAGGAGAAGGATGAGAAGAAGGAGAAGGATGAGAAGAAGGGATGAGAAGAAGGATGTGAAGAAGGAGAAGGATGATGAGAGAAAGGAGAAGGATGAGAAGAAGGAAGAAGGATGAGAAGAAGGACAGTTCTGAGACAGGAGTCTATTTCTGAGAGTTCTGGGAATTGACTCCATACAGAAGGTTTCAAAGAAGGAGAAGTATGGAGGGAATGTCCCAGAACTGTCAGAAATAGACTATTTCTGACAGTTCTGGGACATTCACTCCATACAGCGGTTTCAACCGCTGTATGGAGGGAATGTCATAGAACTGTCAGAAATAGACTATTTCTAACAGTTCTGGGACATTCCTTCCATACAGCGGTTGAAACATTGTATCTATTTGTTTCCATAAATGGATCCATTTATGGAAACAAATAGTGTCCCAGAACTGTCAGAAATAGTCTATTTCTGACAGTTCTGGGACATCACTCAACTCCATACAGCGGTTGAAACATTGTATCTATTTTTTTCCATAAATGACATTCTGCAAATACACTTAGAGGAGCTCGCAGATACACTTTTTGCCAGCTTGGAATTATTCTTATTTTCATCCTACTTCTTCTTCTTCTTCTGTATGAGGATGATGAATGAAGAAGAAGAAGTAGGATGAAAATAAGATTAATTCCAAGCCGGCAAAAAGTGTATCTGCAGCGCTCCTCTAAGTGTATTTGCAGAATGTCATTTATGGAAAAAAAATAGATACAATGTTTCAACCGCTGTATGGAGTGAATGTCCCAGAACTGTCATAAATAGTATTTCTGACAGTTCTATGACATTCCCTCCATACAGCGGTTTCAAAACCGCTGTATGGAGTGAATGTCCCAGAACTGTCAGAAATAGTCTATTTCTGACAGTTATGGGACATTCCTTCCATACAGCGGTTGAAACATTGTATCTATTTGTTTCCATAAATGGATCCATTTATGGAAACAAATAGATACAATGTTTCAACCGCTGTATGGAAGGAATGTCCCAGAACTGTTAGAAATAGTCTATTTCTGACAGTTCTATGACATTCCCT